GCTTTTAGAAAATGAGAAAAAAGTTTAAGAACTTTTTTTTTTCTTTTTGAACAACTTTAATTTGAATCAATATGCTTTTTTTTTTTTTTACCAGATTGACATGCTAATGGCTCACCTCAGGGGAGCAGAGACCAAAATGGATTGCTCAATTTTCCTAAACAATGTTCTACATAATGAGGAGTTTTATCCTTTGTTTGATTTTTGAATATATTTGTATGTGAAACATTAAAGTTGTGCTTTCTGCACCCTGCGTTATTTGATGCCTGCTTTCCTTCCTTTATAATGGACACACTTTATCTATTGTTTTTTTTTTTTTCTTTATCTCTGAAGTAATAACTTCTGTGCTTCTGCTCTGTTTCTGACCTACATTAGCTTTGCAGTCTAAAACTATCCCTGGGTGTCTTTGTGTACCTTGTTAATGCCTGTATATTGGGGCTTATCATCCATCCAGCCATTCATTATCTTTTACCCGCTTCTTACATTTTGGGTCAGAGGGGTCGCCGGTGCCCATGTCCAGCAATCACTGTGCGAGGGGCGGGTTACACCCTGGACATGTCGCAAGTCCATCACAGGGCCACAAAGAAACAAACGAGACAAACAACAATTCACGCTCACCTAGGGACAATTTAGAGGTACCAATCAACCTAATATACATGTTTTTGGTCTGTGGGAGGAAACCAGAGTACCCGGAGAAAGCCCACGCATGCACAGAGAGAACTTATAAACTCAACCCAGAAAGGCCCCCAGACATGGATTTGAACCAGGAACCTGCTCGCTGAGAGGCAGCAGCTCTACCAGTTGCACCACCGTGCTGCCCTGGGGATTAATCAGTCACTTTAAAAATACTGAATATTAAAGAGCGATTCGTAAGACACATATGGACAGAAATAAATAAGAAGCTCAGTGTCCCTGGCCCAGACATGGGTTACCAGAACCCTACCCTGGAGCCAGACCTGGGGAGGGGCTCATCGCTGAGTGCCTGGTGACTGGGTGTCTACCCATGGGGCTCTGTCAGGTTCAGCCTGATTGGGTCAACAATGGTTGGCCTTCCTGTAGGTCCACCACCTGCAGGAGGGGGCATATGAGTTGAGTGCATGACACCATGGGCAGTGGCTAAAGACAGGGGCCTTGGCACTCTGACCCTGGCTTACCAAAGCTGTCTCTTGGTACATGGAAAGTGACCTCTCGGGGAAGGAGCCTGAGCTTGTGTGTGAGGTTGAGAGGTACCAACTAGATATAGTTGGGCTCACCTAGATGAACAGAATGGGTTCCAGAACCAAGCTCCTTGAGAGGCGTTGGACCTTTTTCCACTCTGGAGTTCCCCATGTTGAGAGGCACTGAACTGGTGTGGATCTATGTTTAGCCCCACAACTTAGTACCTGTGTGTTGGAGTTTTCCCCAGTAGATTAGAGGGTAGTTTCCCTGTGCTTTCAGGTGGAGCGATGGGCTCTGATGGTTGTTTGTGCCTATGTACCAAATAGCAATTCACAGTATCCAGCATTCTTGGAATTCTTGGCTGGGGTGCTGGAAGGTGCACCAGCTGGGGTCTCCTTTATTCTGTTGGACTTCAGTGCGCATGTGGGTAACAACAGTGTGACCTAGAGGGGTGTGATCTGGACTCGAGTGGTGTTCTGTTGTTGGATTTCTGTGCTAGACATAGTTTTTCCATCACTAACACCATGTTTGAACATAAGGGTGTCCATAAGTATTCTTGGCACTAGGAAGCCCTAAGTTGTAGATCAATGATTGACTTTGTAGTCATGTCATCTGATTTGCAGCCATTTGTTTTGGACACTCAGGTGAAGAGAAGTGCTGAGCTGTCAACTTATCACAACCTGGTAGTGAGTTGGATCAGATGGCGGGGAAGATGCCAGACAGATCCATCCATCCATTATCTTTTACCTGCTTCTTCCATTTTGGGCCATGGGGGTTGCCGGTGCCCATGTCTGGCAATCACTGTACGAGGGGCGGGGTAACCCTGGATGGGTCACAAGTCTATCACAGCGACACATAGAGACAAACAACCATTCACTCTCTCACTCACACCTAGAGACAATTTAGAGTTATCAATCTGCCTAACATAAATGTTTTTGGTCCGTGGAAGGAAACTGTAGTACCCGGAGGAAACCCACGCATGCACGGAGAGACAATGCAAACTCCACCCAAAAAGGCCCCCAGACTGGGATTTGAACCAGGGACCTGCTCGCTGAGAGGCAGCAGCTTTACCAGTTGTGCCACCGTGCTGTGCCAGACAGATCCCATGTACCCAAACATGTAGTGAGGGTTTGCTGGGAACACCTGGCAGAAGAACCCATTAGAAAGATCAAATCATACCTCCAGAAGTGATGTAATCACATTCCAGCTGAGGCAGGGGACACGGGGTCTTAGTGGCCCATGTTCTATCCCATGTTCTATGCCTCAGTTGTTGAAGTCACTGCCTTGAGATGTGGCCTCAAGGTTGTTGGTGCTTCTTGCTATGGCCATCCTCAAACACGATGGTGGAAACCTAGAGTTAGAGAAACTGTCAATATGAAGATGGAGTCTTATCAGGCTTTCATGGCAGGTGGGACTCCAGAGGCAGCTGAGGAGTAACGTTGGGCCAATCAGTCCACAGCTTTGGCTGTTGCTTAGGCAAAAGCTTGGATGTAGGAGGAGTTCAGTGAGGCCTTAGACAGAGACTCTTGGTCAAATATGAGGAGATTCTCACAAACCATCAGGTAACTGAGGAGGGAAAAGCTGATCTTTACTAACACTGTGTTCAGCGAAGGTGGGGTGCTGTTAACCTCAACCAGTGATGTCGTCAAGATGTGGAAAGAATACTTCTCGGACCTTCTCAATCTTACTGGCACATCTTCCATGGAGGAAGTCTGTCCATAGCCATTGCTGATTTCACCGAGGTAGTTAAACTCAGTGGTGTCAGGGCTCTGGGGGTGGTTGAAATTCACCCTGAGCCTTAATGCTCTGGATATGTGACACTGTCTTGGTTTACATGCCTTTGCAACATCATGTGGACACCGGGGGCAGTGCCACTGTATTGGCAGACTGGGGTGGTGGTTTTCCTCTTCAAAAAGGGGGAGCCAAGGGCATGCTCCAATTATGTGGCATCACTCTCCTTAGCCCCCCTGGTAAGGTCTAATCAGGAGTATTGGAGAAGTGAGTCCAATCATTGGTTGAACTTCAGATCCAGGTTGAACCTCAGATTCAGGAGGAACAATGCGGGTCCCATCCTGGCCGTGGAACACTGTACCAGCTCTTTACCCTCACTAGGATATTAGAGGGATCATGGGAGTTTGCCCATCCAGTCTACATGTGTTTTGTGGACTTGGAGAAGGTCTTCAACCATGTTCCTTGGGGTACACTGCGTGGGGTGCTCTGTGAATATGGGATTGGGGGGCCATTGCTATGGGCTGTTTGGTACCTATACAAGCGTTGCAAGAGTTTGGTTTGCATTGCCGGTAGGTAGTAAGTGAGTCTATGTAGTAAGTCTATGGTAGCTCAGGGGTCTGTGGATGTATCAGGAAATACATCCGGCATAAAAACAATTTCCAAGTCTCCGTACAAGTTAGTTCGCTGTGGCAATCCCTGAAGAAGGGAGCAGATGAAAGAAGAGAAAAAAATGGAAGTATTAACTTTTGTGCTGTACTTTTTCTAACAGGTATGACTGACAAATATTAATCCCATGGAATTGTTTGGAAATAGCTAAAAAAGGTCTAGTCCTCTGGACATCTGTTTTGTTTTTAGAATGTCCAGAGGACCAGACCATACTTAACTTTTTCTACCTAGATTATTGAGCATGCATCAGGATATGTTTGGAAATAGATGTTGCATTGTATCAAATTATGGAATTTGAACAAGCTGAAAGCTTGAAAATCTTTCAGCTTGCACTAATAGATGCTTCTAATTTCAACAGATCCCAAACAAAATATTTGGAATGAAGAATTTTGCAGTTTGTCTTAAAAACAAGTTAGCCAAACATTGGACGTTAACAGTAATTGTGCATATTAATATCACCATCTGTTTAGAATTAGGACCCAGGGTGTAAGCAGGCAAGAGAAGCTCAAATATAATTTAAACAACTTTTTTTAATATATAAAATAAATAAATAAATAAATAAACTGCTGACGTGGCAGCAAATAAACTTACAAAACTTGGGAGCACAAAAACACAAGGAGCACGGGAGGGAGCACATGGAGGGCTGATACATTTGGTAGTAAACCAAGACAATCAACAGTGAGGTGGTGACGAGAGTCTGTTTAAGAGGGGGAGTGGAAAGTGGAAGACCTGGGATGATTATAAATTAGGAACTGGTGTGAGTGATAACCGAACTGGTGAGGCTGACCGAGGGTGAGAGTGAAAACTGGCATAGGGAACATGAGCTGGAATAAAACACAACAAACAAATACAACAGAACTTAAAGGACCAAAATCAAACTTAAATTATGAAAGGAAAACATGGGGAAGCACAGATACGCGAATTAATAACTCTTTGCTTTAAGCTGTATCTATGATGCGTGTATGAAATCATTCTTTCTTTTTATAACTTCATCCAAGGACGATGAAAAACTATTTTGACAATGGTTTAATGGATATTTTGTACAAAATTACATTTTGATGTAACATCATAGAAATGAACACAATTAACTGATCATAATTTTCTTTGGAACAATGTGTCATGTTTAGTCTTTATTGATCTTTCTTTTTTTTTAATCTAAACTTAATTGAACCATTTATTTTTGTTTGGTCAGATTTCTCAAAGAATTTCTGAACACATCATTTACCCTAGCTTTAATGGTATAAAAGCTGGCTGATTAAGCACGGTACCAAATAAGAACTTCATTCTTGTTTACCTAAAACAAAACATACAAATTCAGGAGATCTGTGATTTCTCCTGCTTTACTTCTTCACGTGAGTCTTCTCTGAAGCCAAACTACTTCTTCCTCCTTTGCTTTCATGTATTCATTTCTTTCCTTTTCTCTCTTGCAGTTGTCCCATTCCCTGTGGAGGATAATGGAACGGCTGTGGGTCTTTTTGCTGTTGCTGGCAGCAGCATGCAGGGGACAGCCGTGTCCAAAACGTTGCATGTGCCAGAGCCTTTCTCCATCACTTGCTATCCTCTGCTCCAAGACAGGCCTGCTCTTTGTTCCTGCTGCCATCGATCGACGAACCGTGGAGCTACGGCTTCAAGAGAACTTCATCACGGGTATCATACACACAAGCTTGCCCTGACTTCTGTTTAATTTAATATACTGCTAAATGTTTTATTTTCACTGTTTGGTTGGGTGTGTTTTGTTCTTTTTTTGGGGGTGGGGTGGTACATCTTACTGGTTGTTAATGATTGGTCACATTCCCCTTATCTCAAAACGCATGGTGTGCCGTTTTTAGTACTAAATACAAATGCTGGCACTTTTTCTTACTCTGTTCCTAAAAATAAGACATAATACTCATGAGCTTTGGTATTCCTTTTTGGCTTAAATACCTTTGTTTGTTTGAGTTATTTGTTTATTTTAGCTTTTGGCTCAACTGATATATCCCAAAATGTTTTTTTTTCTTTCAGTATCAAAGAGTTTTTTTGTTGTTTTGAAACGTCCTTTTTTTTTAATGAGTCAGAGATGTTTCATCCTTTCATTTAAATTTGGATTTCTGTTCAGTCTAAAACTAAAATATTTCAAACATCCAAAACATAATGTTATGCTCTGATGCAACAATATCAATTAAGGTGCAACTTAGTTGTAATTTAGTTCCTATTTCATATATTTCTGCATAAATATGATGTAGAACGTCATTAAGTATTGCCAAAAATATGGAAATTATTTATTTAACTGTCTAACTACATATCTTGGTGACTTATTTGTATAGGCAAAACAAACGAGAATACATGTTTAGGTGAATGTTGATCAGGTTTGCATCAACGTAGAGACATTTTACACCATTGCACTGTAGTAAAGCCTAAACATTGAAGAGTAGTGAGTTTCTACAAATGAACTGCCACCTCCATAAGAAAGTATGGGTCTTTAACCACTGTTAACTTGGATATTTGATTTGATTCATAGTATTTCCTATAAACCTAATACAGATGTTTATTTGAAGATAATTCAGTTTTTTGTCTTGTGAAAATCAATTCCTGCTTTTTATTGAGTATTTCACACGTTTCTGTCTTTTCATTAAAAAATAAAATAAAATCAATTTCTCCCTGGAAAAACTTCTAGTTCTAGAGAATGAAATTCCAAAATATATTAAATATATAATAACTATGTAAATATTACATTAAGAATAATTTAAATTTATGAATAAATACTGCTTCTTTTTTGCAATAAAATATTAAAACAGGTAAAAATAAAGACAGACAGAAAGACATTTATTGAGGCAAAATCAGAGCTTGTACAATTTAAACAAACTGAAGTCAATATAAGTTTCTGAAATCTTTGACAGAGCTTGATCTTGCATGAGAAAGAAACTTTGTTTAGCCTTCTTTTTCAGTATTCTTTTTTGGGGGGGACTTGAATGACATTTCAAAGCACTACTTTGGCTGTTGACTGCTTTTGTTGTGTTCTTTGTCAGTAGGATCCCACCATAGTTTAATTACTTTACGGTACTATCTCCAGGGAAGCAAATCTATCACTTATAATTTTTCATTCTCCGTGTGTGTGAGTCTATCTGACACAGAATGTGGGGGTGGGTGTTTGTGTGTGTGTGTGTATTTTATTTTATTTTTTTCCATCCAGGAATGATTTTATGGAACTGTCAGTGCATTTGAGATCACTGTCAGACAGAATAAATAAACTGTATTCAATCAAGACTTTTAGGGTGCATATTTTATGATAAATAAAAGCTAATTTTCATGATTTTTCTTTTTTGATAAAATTCACAACATCAGTAGCTGACTCACGACCATAGCCATGAAAGAGTCTCCATTGTGTTATACAGTTGGTTGTAAACCATTGTTCTCTCGTGAATTTCTCTGAAAAAAAAATCTGAATTTGAACTAATTTTTTCAACTTTAGACCCATCCCTGTGCAAGACCTGGGGCATTTTGTATCAGTGTGCAGCTTTCATACTAAAAGTTGAAGTACGGACCAAATTGGGAAAATGTGAAATATTCAGATTTATCAAACCATGTGCAGGCACTTTTCTGTGCATCTTTCCTTTGTACATCCAAACAAACATGCCTGAGACTCCTTTCCTGACAGGCGTCCATTTAAATATGCAAATAGATGCAAACATGTCCTGCATTTACAATTTTCCTCTTTGCACAATCAAAAAATAATGTCTACATGCAGGGAAATGAATACTTTAAAGAGTCAAAGATTCTTCAAAATAGGTATTGAGGCATGAATATGTGTTTGTCACACTTGCAAAGTTAAAGGACTGTGTGTGTGAAGCTATGGTTGTCATTAAATGACCTTAACAGGCTGCTGATCTGCCTGTGGCACATTTCTGAAACTGAGGCATTTCAAACTTTACACATGTTAAATAACATATTTACTTTAAACACTAAGGCACTCAGGGGCTTGGTAGAAGCTACAGGGTTATTTAATGAAAAGCTGATGTCAAGAAATTAGTTACTGAAAATCAACGGAGTGTTTCAGCCACACTGTTGTGGAATTTGATATACTTGTGCATCATATGGACGAGACCATCCCATACGACTGATAAGGCATCTCAGGGATGACTATGAAAAATATGATTGGTATTTTGTTGGTGTGATCCCCAAAAACACACTGCCTCTCATTTCTATTGATGATGTCTTCTACCAACACCACAGCTGCTATTGTTTCACTTACACACAACTTTACACAGCTACTGTATATATGGCCATGTGTGATTGTCTGAACCTTGTCAACCTGAGGAATCATCTCAAGAGATTTGTTCTAAATTAACATGTTGAACAGTATTATTTTCTTCTCAGAAATAATGCAAATTTCCATTAGACAATGCACATTAATTTTAGGCACCTGAACAGTCTGTGCACCTTACAAGCGTGTGGTCACAGACACATGTTAATGTCTACATGTGACAAAAATAGAGAAAACTACGCAGGTAACACTAGAGTTATCATTTTTGAGGTGTGTTGTAAGTTGTGTTGTATGAGGTTAAATGTATTTCAGTTTCATTGTTTGGTTTTAAACCATAAATCTTCAAACTCTTGATAAAATATGTTTAAATGTCCCCTGGGTTTAGAAACGGAATGGTGTCACATTTTAGGTATTTAGGTGAGTTTAAGTATTTTGTAGTTTGATACTGTTGACTGATGAAAATGCTTGCGTAGAGGTAAGCACATTTGCATGGCAAGTCAGAAATGTGTGTACATTTAGGCCCACTTTCATGCAACGTTCATTTTGTTACATGCCGTTGTGTCCAAGGGACCTTGTACATGAAACCTTTTTCTACCTAAGCACCTTTTATTTCACTCATGTTGTTGGTTGTCACTACCTTTGGTGTTAATTTATCATCCATTCAGTCTTTTTAACTTCAAAAATGACTGCATGATAGTGAACTTTCAACTGAGACCAGTGACATTGTGTGGTCTTTGCAGTTTTTATAGACTGATATAAAACTTGGAAGAAAAAAAAAGTATTGTGGAAGTTTGTTGTCTAAAAATGTCTAAAGATATAATTTTATCGGTTGTAGGTGGTGCAGTATAGATTGACGCAACACTTGTCCTTTCCTTAAGTTATGCAATGTATAGGTCAGTGTTATGTGACCTATACCAACAAACAGGGTGGGGGTGGTTGGGTTGACTTTGTGTCTGGGGCCTAAAAAAAATTATACTTTGTGTTTATTCTGCTCATTCACAGCTGTCCTAAAAAAAGACTTTGTCAACATGACCAGCTTGTTACATCTGACGCTGTCAAGAAACACCATCAGTCAGATTCTGCCATCCGCTTTCAGTGATCTGCGACGACTGAGGGCTCTCCATTTAGACTCTAATAGATTAACTATGATCAAGGTATGATCCTTGTGTGGAATATTAACAAAAGTTGACTGGTGCTCCTTCGATAAATGTTTAGTTAGTAAATACAGTAGATATTCCAGTAGGATTTCCCTTATTACAATATACTCATCTATATGATTGTCAATTCCCCTTTCCAACCAGGATGATCACTTCAAAGGTCTGACTAATCTTCGCCATCTGATCTTGGCCAACAATCAGCTTCACTCCATATCCCCTCATGCCTTTGATGACTTTGTAACTACTTTAGAAGATCTAGATCTCAGTTACAACAACCTTGCTTATGTCCCATGGGACACAATTGGTCGTCTAACCAACGTCAACACTTTGAATATGGATCACAACCTCATAGAAAATGTTCCTCAAGGTGTATTCACAAATCTGCACAAACTGGCCAGGTAAAGACACAGAAATAAATTATATTTTCATGTCTTAAAAAAAAAAACACCTTTTGTTAATATGACGTATCTCTCTCTCGCTCACTCTCTCTCCTCTTTCTCTCTCTATATATCTCTCTCTCTTGCATTTTACTACTTTTCTTTCCTTCCTTCCTGTACTTTGTCAGGCTGGACATGACATCGAACAAACTGAAGAAAATTCCACCAGACCCATTATTTCTGAGAATCCCAGTGTATGCCAAGTCTAAAGGCTCCCCCCTCTCCTCTCTTGTGTTGAGTTTTGGTGGTAATCCACTCCACTGTAACTGTGAACTTCTGTGGTTAAGAAGGTTAACCAGAGAAGATGACCTCGAGACATGTGCCTCCCCTCCTGATCTCAGTGCCAAGTACTTCTGGACAATACCTGAAGAGGTATGAGATTTATGCTATGACTTTTATTGTGAAAGTGTAAGATTGTAAAAAGCATGGCTAATATTTTGATTTTCTCCTATCCGTTTTGCCCTGTAGGAGTTTATTTGTGACCCACCAGTACTGACTAGAAAGTCCCCTCATACTGTTGCTATGGAAGGTCAGCCTGCCAGTTTGAAGTGCAAAGCGAATGGTGACCCAGAACCTGAAGTCCACTGGATTAGCCCTGAAGGACGACTTATATCCAATACCACCAGGTATCATGACAATAATACAGAATATTCAAAATAGAAGGGTACTGTTTTGTATCATCTTTACATGTGCGTACATTTATAATTTTTTTTTATTAAACATGTATTTTTAGTTTTTATTTTATTTTATTTTTATTAATGTCAAACTAAGAGAATCACATCAGTAAGGTCAGGTTGTCAATATAGAAAGAGTGTTTCACCTATGATGGCCATTACAGCTTCTAAGAGCCATATTACAGCCAATTTAGAACCAATTGTGTCACCTTCCAAACAACTTTTCACAAATAGCATGAAGGACCTGCTCATGAGCCCAGTCAAGTTATTTGGAACCCAACAATGAAACATAATTCCCATCAGTAATATTTGCAGTATTTTCTCTATTGAAATTCATGAATCAGTATGCTTCAGAGTCAAACCAATGGGGTAATTTCCGTATAGACTGCAGTAGATGTATCATAAACTGTAAATAGGAGGAAACAAATGCAGGTGCTTCAATGGAAAATATATGAGCTAACATGAACACTAGCAAAGCAAGTTTAACTCTTAACAATTTAGCACTGATTAAGCAAAGACTTCTTCTTCTTTTGGCTGCTCCCTGCATTAGGGGTCGCCACAGTGAACTAAGTCGCATGGAGACTTGGCAGTTATTTTTACACCAGATGCCCTTCCTGACACAACCACAGACCACTGAGCTACCACAGCCCTCTGTGTGGAGCAGAGAGCTGCTATCTAGGACACCCAGAGGAGCAGATGGTGGGGGTTAAGGGCCTTGTTCAAGGGCCCAGAGTGGGGCGAATGAGGGTGGGGGCAGGTGTAGGTGCTTCACCTACCCCACCCACATTTTTGATGTTGTCAGTACCGGGGCTTGAACCGGCAATCTGCCTACTTTCTCTAAACTCTGCGCCACCACTTCCCTAATTAATTCCCTGATTAAGCAAAGACAAAAAAACTAATTTAAGCTAATATTACTTCAGACAGTCTCAAATGTGCAAAAAATAAAAATCTTAAGTTGTAGTTTTAATACGCTGACATGGATTTTTTTTTACTTCGTTGCCCACTTTTTATTTATATAAACCAAAAATGGTGACTACTTTTATGTAGAAGCTCCAAGATGTAAAAAAAAAAACAACCCAGGAAATAAACATGAACTTTTTTCTAATTGTAGAATAAACAGATTATATTTAGATCCTCTTAATAAAATGTGTGTATATTTAAAATCTATATTGTTAATATCAAGCTTAAATTAGTGACAAACTCAGGCGGTAAAATAAGGTTCCCAAAGAAACAGAAATGCAGTAGTCCCTTGTTTATCGCATACCCTGAACACCTGCAATAAGTGACAAACTGTGAAGTAGGAATATTAATACAAGAATTAAGTAGTAAT